GGCACTTTGAGATAGAGACAGTAGTCATGAGTACAACAAATCAGACAGTATGATGTAAGGATACAGAATCCAGTATGACACACCGTCAGGGGTTAATCATGGACATGCTTGTTAAGATCAGCAATAACATACGGGACAAAGGAGGATCTGTAACGCTTAGTGCTGCATTTAGGGAGGCAGAACCTCTGCCCTGATGGAAGCATCCAAAACTCAACATGGAGGGGGTGTTGAGAGTCTGAGACAACAGACCGAGCTTCAGAGGTGACCCTCTCTTCATACAGATGCTGGAGGTCATTTAAAGTAACACCAGTGATCTTACAACACAGCTTGACCACTTTTTCCAACCTGTTCTTGATTTTAAGGCTCAGATTACCAAACCAACAGATTATGTTAAAGGAAGGAACTGACTCGATAAAAGAAGAATAGAATAATTTCATGATCGTCCTTTCTACATAGAAACTCCTCACCTTCCTTAAAAGAATAGCCGTTGGTTTGCCTTCTTACAGATGCTGTCAGTGTTCACATCAAAGTTCAACTTGTCATCTAAAACCCCGTTTCCAACAAACACTTTCGTTATGGTACCAAAAGTAACCCTTTAGACATGGTCCTTACACCCTAGCATTTTCATTGCAAACAGTACCCTTAAATGTGGGCGGGGTTGTTGTCACTCACTGTATTTCCTCATTACTGGTGACACAGATGGAAGTCTGCACTTTGTTTATCATCCACGGAACGCGGCTGCACGCCGACATTTTCAGAACAAAATAAAAACAGGCTGCAGTGAGAGTCTCTCTCCATGGGATATTTAAAAACAGTGGGTTTGTGCAGTCATCTGCGTACTTACAGTGGAGAAATCTTGATGCATGATTACTCTGACATTCATTTGCGTATAAACAAAATAAAAGAGGCAAAAGAACACATCTTTTCGAGTTTCTCTTCCAGTATCTAATGCAAACCAGCAGTGCCACAACATCTACTCTGGTGATGCAGATAATGTTTGTTTTGTTTGTCAGACAGATGTTAGTTAAATTATATGTTTCAGCACTGAGCTCATAATTAAATGTGTCGTATTGGACTACATTATATTCAGAGATGTTTTGAAACTTTATAACAGTAGAATACATATATATTATTATTTTTGTATTACTTCAGTTTATTGACCTGTTGTAGACAGTAAAAAGGACTATGGATGATTTCCTAATCAATGATCAAGTCTTAGCATTGTAACCAAAAGAATACAGAATACAGCTCTCTGAAATAACAATAAATATTGACTACGGTCATATATGAAGTACATTCAACACCAGCAGCTTCAGTACAAAAGACGCTGTATTAGATTTCTATCTTAAAACAATAGTGGTGGAAGTATATTGCTAAGACAGTGCCTAAACTTTTGATCTGGACGACTTAACCTGCTTCTTCAACAGCTTCCACTTTAGTTTGTCGTGGAAGGAGTGGAAATGTTTACAGAAACGCACATGTAATAATGACAGTCATTACATGGATTATACTTATGTGTCGAATCAACGCCATCTGCACCTCCCCAGAAATGTAACTACACGTCACAGCGACGTAGACCTCCTGTCTGTTTCTGTACGCTGAAACCATTTCCCTCAGAAGTCTTACACAGATAAGAAACAATAAATTGTGAAGCAGCTGCTAATGGGTATCCAAATAAAATAAACAAATAAACAATAAAGCCTCCACAAAAATAGCATTTTAAGTCTTGTGTGTGATTTATCCTGGCTTCATATGAGCAGAGGAAAAGATAGCTAGTTGCTAGGGCTGGGCGATAAATCGATTTTATCGATTAATTTGAATTTGTAGTTTGGGACGATTTATTTTAATGAAAATTGAGTTTCTATTTAAAATCCGCCACCGCCGCTCCACGCTGGGCTCACGTAGTTCATAGTGGGCTCCCCCCCCCCCCCACGTGCTTGATACACAAACAACATGGCAGCGAGCGGGGAAGAACTCCTTCTCAAGAAAGGGAGCGCTTTTGTGTGCACACCTGTGTCTGTGTGCTCACCTGTGTGTGTGTGTGTGTGTGTGTGTGTGTGTGTGTGTGTGTGTGTGTGTGTGCGCATCAGGGCCGAACTCCGCCGTGCACGACACAGAGAGCAGAGGAGGATTTTAGACGCGCACCGTGTAGAGACATAAATGACATGCCGTTGTGTAAATAAGTGTTACCAACGCCAAGCTGGCAGACCCCCGAACCATAGTAAACCATAAAACGTAGTAAAGGGACCTCTGAAGACCATTAGCTCCTTTAGCTTGTGTTAGCTCGCTGTGGCAACAACACATAAACAACGGGACTTCGTCTGCATTAAAGAACAGCACTTTATTTTCAGCACTGCAGGGATGACGCACAGCCTCAGTGTCTGACTTTTACATAGAGGGAAATAACTCAAAAACAGCACGCAGAACTGCGTAGGCTTCTTCACTGTGGCTGCTCAATGTAAACAACATAGCACATGCCTCACTTTCTTCCTGGGGCGCATCCGTCTGACATCATATACCACACCCGGCGCACTAACGTCTCATACCTCCTACATTAACTACACACATACACACACACACACACACACACACACACATCAGGCTCAGCCTGTAACATAAGGCTATTTAGTTTGTTTAATAAAAGGACAAGGTATAGACCTGTTCTATAGGAAAGGTAACATTAAATGACTTCTGTTGTGATCCAACATGATGGTAGGGGAAACACTGCCGTATGATAAGAAGGGGGTCTGGTGGAAAGCCATCACAGATGCAGTCGCCATGTATATTGCAAGAGATGTGGTGCCCATATATAGGCTACCATGGAAAAGCTGGGGTTTATTCACATGCTGAAAGTTTTGGACCCCACATATGTGCTACCAGGCTGCAAGTATTTATTTTTTTAAATAGGAGGGGAAAAAAAACGATTTAAATCGTGAATCGGATTTTTTGTGAAAAAATTGGAGATTTTTTTTTTTGGGCCATATCGCCCAGCCCTACTAGCTGCTATGCTAATTTATACAATGTAAAATGCCATAGGCTGGTGCTAATAACGTTAGCATGTTGTATTTGTGGGGAAAATGTGTCCAGATAAATTGTCTGTGAATGCTGCGAGTTATAGTGAAGCATAGTGACCACCGCACAAGTATAAATGTTTACAATGCCGCAGGCCACGTGCGTAGACTCTGCATGCAGCTGACACACAAGTAGCTATAAATATCGCTTAATGCGCCTATTTAAAATACTGAGGGGGATGCAACAGCAACTGAAAAACTTAAATGCTCATAACTCAGTGGTTATTATGAGTCTAAGTGACTTCAAATGTTGTGCGATGCATCCTTGTACAAAGCCAAAAGATTCTCTTGCAGGATTTAGATTTCCTCTGCAAAGCAGCAAGATTTTCTGTCAATACTTCAGAAACAGATTTAAAATTCCAAAACATTTGCTATATTTTGCTACAACTGTGTGCAGAAATTCTCCCAAAGATCCACAATGCTTCTGTTGAGTGACTGAAGAAAGTGTTTGGAGGAATTCTTTAAATCAGGCCTCTGTTATCCTTTAACTCTGGTGATCCTTTGACTTTTCTTTCTGTGCCATCATCAGGTCAAAATAATTATTGATTTCTTTGGTTTATGACCAAATGCCTGACAACTGTGTAATTCAGCTCAGGCAGTTTCTATTTAGTGCTTATTAGCGTGCTAAAATGCTGAGCTAAGATCCTTAGACTCTTTGTATAGTTTCATTTACTGAATTCTACTGAATCAACTTACCAGTGACAGTGAGCCGACATGTAGCAGTGCTGCCGCCATAACGTGTGTCCACTTGACACATGTACAGTCCTGAGTCATCAGTCCTGAGTCTGGACACATGAAGTCTGAGTCGTCCCTCTCTGAGGACGTCTTTGTCACACTGGACTCGTCCTGTAAACTGTTCATCCTGAGACTCTGGGACCTCAACACCTTCATGTAGACGAAACAGACCTGATGGTCTGAGATCAGTTTTCAGTTCACAGTAGATATAAAGGGAGTGGAGGGAGCTGCCAGGTTTGGTGGTGAACATCCACTCCAGTGTGATGTTGTGGTTCTCCTCTGCCTGATAGGAGGTCTGTGTCACATTGACTACAAATGTTCCTGTTGAGGAGACAGAGAGGGAAAGTGAGGAGCAGACAAAGTGACAACTTTAACATGTGAGCCTTTAAACTCCATCTATAGATGTTTGTGTGGAGAGTGTAGTGATGGTCTCAGAACTGCAAAGGCTCATCAAGACAACTGGTCTGATCAAATGCTCTTGGGGAATGAATCATTTCATTGAATAACAGTGTGTCTTCTTAAGAAACAAAGCATTTAAAGATACATCAGTTTGGTGCATGATACTGACAATTTGTTTGATCTGTTTATCTTCTAAACTTGCTGTGTAATGTAATGTTTCCTTTCTCATGTTGCGTTGTGCTGTTCTTGGCACAGAGCTCATCTTGACAACATGGGCAGATGTTGAGACAATGGGCCCCTGGGCACAGAAATGCAAAAGGCCCCACCACTTACTCTACATATGAGCAAGACACACAGGCTTTGTGCTGGTTTTTAATTTTGTGTCCCTTTGAGGTAGATTGCAACGTACCAACTTTAAACTCTCCGAACTGATCATCTTGTCGATCGCGCTGTAGGCTCGCTGCCAACAACACTGGACTCTGTAGCACCTCTTAAAAAGAAGTTAACAAAGCAAAGAAAGTTCGCTCCTTGGTACAACGCCCAAACCCGAAAATTCAAACAAATATTGCAGAAATTTGAAAGGAATTGGTGATTGACCAAACTGGAAGAATCTCGTTTAGTGTGGACAGACAGTCTCAAAACGTATGAGAGGGGTCTCCACAATGCCAGAGCAAACTATTACTCAGCTTTAATATAAGAAAACAAGAATAACCCCAGGTTTCTTTTCAGCACTGTAGCCAGGCTGACTGAGATTCAAAGCTCTATTGAGCCTTGTATTCCTTTAGCCCTTAGCAGTAATGATTTTATGAGCTTTTTTAATGACAAAATTCTAACTATTAGAGGCAAAATTCATGACCTCCTGTCCTCAGATAGTACCTATCTAACCTCAAACACAGCTGTAAGACCTAATATATATTTAGATTGCTTCTCCCCAATTTCTCTTCAAGAATTGACCGCAGTGATTTCTTCATCTAAATCATCAACGTGTCTCTTAGACCCCATCCCAACTAGGCTACTTAAGGAGGTCTTTCCTTTAGTTAACACTCATATATTAGATATGATCAATATATCCTTATTAACAGGCTATGTACCACAGTCTTTTAAGGTAGCTGTAATTAAACCTCTACTAAAAAAGCCCACCCTGGATCCAGAGGTGTTAGCCAACTATAGACCAATATCTAATCTTCCCTTTATGTCAAAGATCCTTGAGAAAGTAGTCGCAGACCAGCTGTGTGATTTTCTCCATGATAATAATTTATTTGAGGAATTTCAGTCAGGATTTAGAGTGCATCATAGCACTGAGACAGCACTAGTTAAAATTACAAATGACCTTCTGATTGCTTCAGACAAAGGACTTGTCTCTGTACTTGTTTTATTAGATCTTAGTGCGGCGTTTGACACAATTGACCATCAAATTCTACTGCAGAGACTGGATCACTTAATTGGCCTAAAAGGTTCTGCACTAAGCTGGTTTAAATCTTATTTATCTGATCGTTTTCAGTTTGTTGACGTTCATAATGAATCATCCTTACGTACCAAAGTTTGTTTTGGAGTTCCGCAAGGTTCTGTGCTCGGACCAATCCTATTTACTCTATATATGCTTCCTTTAGGTAACATCATTAGAAATCACTCTATAAATTTCCATTGTTATGCGGATGATACTCAGTTGTATTTATCGATGAAGCCAGAAGAAAGTAATCAATTAACTAAACTCCATAACTGCCTTAAAGACATAAAAACTTGGATGAGCACCAATTTCCTGATGTTAAATTCAGACAAAACTGAAGTTATTGTTCTTGGCCCCAAACAACTCAGAGACTCTTTATCTGATGACATAGTTTCTCTAGATGGCATTGCTCTGGCCTCTAGCACTACCGTAAGAAACCTCGGAGTAATATTTGATCAAGATTTGTCTTTTAATTCTCATTTAAAACAAACCTCACGGACTGCATTTTTTCATCTGCGTAATATTGCGAAAATTAGGCCTATCCTGACCCGAAAAGATGCAGAAAAATTGGTCCACGCTTTTGTTACCTCTAGGCTGGATTACTGTAACTCTCTATTATCAGGTAGCTCTAGTAAGTCCTTAAAAACTCTCCAGCTAATTCAGAATGCAGCAGCACGTGTACTAACAGGAACTAAGAAACGAGATCATATTTCTCCTGTTTTAGCTTCTCTGCACTGGCTCCCTGTAAAATCCAGAACTGAATTTAAAATCCTACTGTTAACTTATAAAGCTCTAAATGGTCAGGCTCCGTCATATCTTAGAGAGCTCATAGTGCCATATTATCCCACTAGAACACTGCGCTCTGAGAACGCAGGGTTACTCGTGGTCCCTAAAGTCTCCAAAAGTAGATCAGGAGCCAGAGCCTTCAGCTATCAGGCTCCTCTCCTGTGGAATCATTTTCCTGTTACGGTCCGGGAGGCAGACACCATCTCCACATTTAAGACTAGACTTAAGACTTTCCTCTTTGATAAAGCCAGATGCCTCCTGCTGCTGCTGCTGCTGTTATCATTAGTCATACTTCTACTGTTATTATACACATATGATTATTGTCACATACATATACTATCGAATATTAATATATACTTTCAACATATTGTACCACAATAGCCAGAATTAGAATTATAATATTATTACTTCAAATGTTGTTGTAAGCTACTGTCATTACCGTCTGTCGTGCATCTCTCTCTGTCTCTGTCTCTCTCTGTCTCTGTCTCTCTCTCTCTCTCTGTCTCTCTCTCTGTCTCATTGTGTCACACGGATTACTGTTAATTTATTATGCTGCTCTGTTCTGTACGACATCTATTGCACGTCTGTCCGTCCTGGAAGAGGGATCCTTCTTCAGTTGCTCTTCCTGAGGTTTCTACCGTTTTTGGGGGAGTTTTTCCTTATCCGCTGTGAGGGTCCAAAGGACAGACGGATGTCATATGATGTAAAGCCCTCTGAGGGAAATTGTTATTTGTGATATTGGGCTTTATAAATAGAATTGATTGATTGATTGATTGATGATTGATTTGTGTCTTTTTGTAGCCATTTCTGTCTCTCATTGTGTTGTCTAGTGTCTCCTTGAGGTGATTTTGTGTCTCTTTGAGGCAATTTGTGTCTCCTTGAAGTACTTGTGTTTCTCCCTGACGTAATTTTTGTGTCTCCTTGAGGCAGTTTCGTATCTCCTATAGGTGACACAAACTTCACAGTTAAAGCAACGATTCTTTCCCACAGTGAAATGAATAGTTTTAATCGGCTTTAAACGTCCAGTGTGCTGCATCTAGCTGTGAGGCTGCAGATTGCAAACAACTGAAACTTCTGTCCGGATCAAACCTCCAGTTTGTGTTGCTCAAAACGTTTGAATAGGATAAGGATTACTTTGATCCAAAATATCAGGATTACCCTGATCACAGCAGAGGGCTGGATTCAGACTGGATTACAAGGGGAAAATGACATAAAAACTCAAAGCAGTCAAACACGAAAAATTAGAAAGGATAAACAGAGTTAAGAGAATGATAAATTGTTTTTTACACCTGTTACAGCCGCCGCTCTTTCCACCTCCATTGTGTGTGTGTGTGTATGCAACACTAATTTTTCCCTCTGTGTGCCGAGCTGCCTGCACCTCCACTGGACTCAGAAGCTCCACCTCCTCTATTCTGATTGGTGCGGCCTCTGATGTTTCTGCCTGCACAGTCCACAGCTCACCTGGGTCCCTGATTGGTGCGGCACAGGTGCAGTGGACCAATCCCAGCCATTCAATCAAGACCGTCATCTGTAAGTGCCCTGCCAGTCTGTCAGTCGGGCGCTGACTGTCGGTGGCAGCTCGCCTGTTTGCTTGATGACTTTGTGTTGTGTTGGTTAGCCCACTGATAGCATTTGTAGCTTGTCATAAGCTTTTGTAGATTTTTGTGAACTTTTGAAGTGTGGCCAGGTTGTTAGAAATTGTTATCCTTTTGACTGATTCCAAACATTTCCATCCACACATAGACAATTACCTGTATAGAGACACTAGGTGCAGAGGTGCTGTTTTGTTGTTGTTTGTTTTAAAAGCTGCATTAGACAGAGTTTGTTTTCCCTTTTATTTTCGATTAGATAGATTGTAGATTAAACTCTGAGTGAGTCCTCCTTTTGTTATATTTGTTTTTTTGAGTTAAACAGCACCCACCGGCCCTCTTCCTTGGTTCGTTCTCAGTTTTTGTTAACCAGACTTCCTTCATTTGAGTTGCAATAAACTGCCTTACCTTTAACATCTGGGGTTTTTTTTTGTGTTGCTTCCCTTTCCCCTGCGAGCTGGGTTGTAACAACACCACTATTTTTACAATATGTATTAAGTAGTATATTTACGTTATGATATATTTTCATAAACTTATTTCGTAAGTTTGTTCATGATGCATTGCCCAAGTGCATCATAAACGCAAGATATATATTTAGGACTTGAGTTTTGTATTCATCAAAGTCATAAAGACATGAAATATATAATAAACTGTGAGCTGTGTGTTAAAGTCAAGACATTAATTTAGAAAAAGGTTATGAATTAAAAATGTTAAAGGTGATCACAGTCGATAAAAGTTCATTCATTAAAAACTCAAATCTATGCATATGTTCTTGATGTTTGCTGCCATCTGCTGGTCATTTTTTAGATTCTTTCTCAGTTACAAGTCAGGCCCAGTGGCGTAAAGGCATCAAGACAAACAGTGCAGAAAGTGTGTAACTCTTTTTTCCAATTTTGAAATAAAAACACTTACTATTACCCCACGCTTGCTGTTCTACCTGTTGTTCTCCTCAATATTTGATAAATGTTTTAATATTTTCAACTTGAATTATTGCATCCATTCCATGACAGTGTAGGTGAGGTACACATGGTTGTGGATAAAATGATGAATTTATGGCTAATTAAATATTCTACAAAATAGCTGTTTATGTCAAACATAATATAATTAATTAAGGATGTTCTATTTTGTGTGAATTTTGGCGCACCCAGCATCCCACTGAAAGTACTGGTAATCTGGATTTGGTAATCCAACACACTGGACCTTCAATAGTTTACAGATGTTCTCACTGACATATTTTATAATGTCAAAGAAATAACAAGGAAAATGTGCTTTAAAGTGTATTTTGTCTTTTCTTTTTCTGTGTAATAACAGAAGGTGTAAACTAACCACAGACACTGGAGGTCAGGTTGATGAGCAGCAGGATCCTGTATATCATCTTCTCCCTGCGAGAGGAGACAGAGCTGAAGAGGAATGTGATTCATCATGATCAATACAGGGGTGAGAGAGACAAGACAGCACCAAGCCTTGATTATGTGTCAGAAACAATAGGTCAGTTTACATGCACACTAATATTCCACTATTATTCCCAGTATGAGAATATTTGGACTTTGATGTAAACATGTAAACAGCATATTCTGTTTGGATATTCTGAATTAGACCTTTTTCCAAATGTTGCATTTTCCAATTAAGCCATATGGGACGTTGGTATTTTTGGATTTTAACAGCATTCTTTGGACATGGAGGTAAAGCATTCAGTGTTCCATCTCGACTGGGTTTATTACTGCAGTTTGTGAGACACAGCTTCTTGTTGCAACACGTTCTCATCTCAGCATCAAATACTGAAACTTTGTCAGTGGACCTAAACGGCAAATATGACACGCTAGATTCTCTCCTGTGTCAGGTTGTTACAGCGTATCAATTTACACTTGTTACACACATTGTGACTTTTCAAAAAACGCTTTCATTTTCACAGTAAACGTACAGTTTCTGCTCAGTACATGCATTTGGTCTTTTTCAAAATAAAACTTAGAATGTAGGTATAACACTTGGGCAGTTTCCATACATCATGTATGTATAACGTATATCAGGACGTTTAATGTACATCATTAAATCAAGGTTTTGATAGCATGTCTATCAAGAAATGCGCATTTTATTTTCCTAATCTTTATTCAGTGAGTGTACATTATCTTTAACTTCTTAGTTATAAAGTGCAGCAGGAATGAGTCCTAAAAAACGGAAGTGAGTCAGCATTTTAGCACTTCTGGTGCCCTCGTCTTGAAGTCAATGTTTATTGGGTTAGATGCCTGAAATAAGGTCTGTGGTTAACACAAGCTTGAGAAATTTTCAGGTTTTGCTGTACGACATAAATTGGGTCAGTAAAGACCACCCTCGTGAATTTTGAAGCTTTTACGTGTCTTAAAAAGGGCAGATGCTAACGAGCGGCTAAATGAAACTGCAGAATGACATCATGCCTAACGGCCAAGGTTATCATAATGGAAACTAGACTAAAAACTAGAACAGAGTGTAAGAAAACATTTCAGTCAACTGAAATAAAAATAAAAACTAGCCTTTAGAAAAAAGAACTAACTGAAAGAATATTGTGTACTTACAAATCTAAAATAATACACTGGACACGTCTAGTTTTAATCTTTGTCAGTGTGGTCAAATCTGTCATGAGGAGGCATTGGTTCATATGTTTATTGAGACTGGGAGTGAACTGGCTTCACAAAGTGTTGTGCTGGATTCAGGTTGTGGCCAAAGTAGAATGAAGCATTTCCACAACAGACAAAATAGTAGCTCAATGCGCCACTTCTGCCTACAAGACAAACTTGGAGGATCACAGGCAGCATGGCTTTGAGCCAACCAAAACTAACAAAAAAAGCTTTTTATTTCTCAGAATTGAAGCGCTAACTCAAACATTAACATTAACATTAACTCGTCATACTTGTTAGAAAGACTTAACTCACCATCTGTGGAGCAGCGCTGACCTCTTGACATACGAGGAGAACGACGCCATCACCTGGAGCAGCCACGATTGGTGGAAGTTAACCAATCACCTCAGATTCACCTGAGAAACAGAGGATAAATTATTCATGCCCAGCTTCCAGAGACAATAAGTGTTCAACAGTGGTTCCACACAGCAAGCTTCAGAAATGCACAATTTGTCTTGAAACCACTTATTTTCATCAGTTAGTTATTAGACAGTGAGTAAATGAAATGCTACAGATTAGATTGTGCAGGGACATTTGTGTTCAATGTGATCAACCACACTTCCTCACTAAGACAAAAGTTTCTGTCCCTTCCTTTCTAAGAGTACTTTCCTAAATCACTCCTAAGCTAGGACTCCTCACTACAGGTTTTTAGGCTAAGTCAGGAGCTCTGAGAGTGTTCTCAGAATGTTTGTGAATATGACCCCAGAGTTTGATCCTCTGCCTGACCCTCCCTGTGTCCAAGACTATTCATTAATCAAACAGTCTAAGCTATTTAATTGTTCTATATCATCATGCTATTATTTATATAAGTAGGGGATTTTAATACCAGAGGTGGAAAAAGTACTGAAAAATTCTACTCAAGTAAAAGTATCCTTACTTTGATGAAATTCTACTTAAGTATACAAGTAAAGCTACCCATCTAAAAATTTACTCAAGTAAAAGTAAAAAGTAGTTAGTTTCAAATGTACTTAAAGTAGAAGTTACTTAGTTACTTCCAACAACTTGATGGGGGTCACTCCCATGCAGTGCAAAAATGGTCCAGAGGTCATAAATCCAATCCAAAACTGGTTATTTTTCTATGATGAACCATAGAATTCAATTCAATTTAGGGCTGCACAATATCATTAGAGCATCACCATCGCAATGTGCTCTTGTGCAATAGTCACATTGTGAGACTCGCACTATAAGTTCATCATATCATCAATATAACATTAGTCAAAGGCAATATGCCTGCTTATTTTGCTGGTTAATACTTAAGGTTGTGAAGTTCTCAGTTTCCAGGACAGTTTGATTGTAAAATGTATATTTCATGCAAATACAGCCTTTCCAAATCCCAAATGATCACTTCTTTCCAAATAGAGCTATTCAAGTTTTTGCAATACACTGTATATTGCAATACATATCGCAGTATACAAAATCGTTGTCGCATTGTCAGTTTTGTCTAATGTTGTGCAGCCCTCACTCATTTTGACTCACCAACACAGCTGTTAGACTGATGACACACACATCAACTTTTTGAGCAATGTTGTTGGGCATTATTCTCAGGGATACAAACAGGTGTATGGTCAAGAAAGAGAGAGCTTGTCTAAGCGAAATTCTGAGTATTAAAATACACTAACACTAATTTGGAAGAATACTGTGTATTCCAAAACAGAACAAATCAGAGTTCCCCTATATGCAACTAGCAGGTGGTGCTCCGCTGCTGAAATATGACCGCTGCTGCTGATTTATTTTTCTTTTTTTGTCTTAGTTCTTTGTTATATTATTTGGCGCTACAGACGCTTCATATCCAGGTCAATTCACACACTTGTGAGTAAAGCATATAAGAGGAGAGGAGAGGGCTCTGTCTGATCTCTTCATGAACTAAAGTTATATTATTTTCCCGCGACGGACGCTTCATATAATAACATTATACTATTTATTGTGTTATATGATGAAACATTTCACTTTATAACGTGATGACTTATATTGTTTATATGACGTCATTTCCGTCTCTACATGGTCGCACTTGTACTGCTGCATTGCTGCCACCAGCTCCCCCTTGATCCAACAAGGAGCAGGTGACAGGGTCTCCTCTGAAAATCAATAAACATCTCACTGGTCTTACACACATTAATGTGGAGGAAGGAGTGGCCACACCAAAAAAAACAAAACAAATTCTTCCAGCACTTAGTCATGATCATATTCTGATCCATTAAGAAGGCTTACAAATACTCATCCGCATACCTAGAGACGAATCTTCATGAGTGATCACTCTGACATTCATTTGTGTATAAACAAAATAAAAGAGGAGAAAGAACACATCCCTGGGGGGATCCAGTAGAAGAAAGATGGGTACTGGACTGTATGATATGCAATGTCAGTCTTTTAGAGTTTCTCTTCCAGTATCTAATGCAAACTGCAGTGCAGTGCATATGTATGTATTATTTTGTTATTACTTCAGTTTATTGACCTGTTGTAGACAGTATTAGAGCATATGGATGATTTCCTAATCAATGATCAAGATTAATTCAGCAGATCAAGTCTGAGCACTGTCACAAAGAAAAACTACACATAGCTACATATGTCAGATTAGAACATGACAAAAGCAAAGTTCATTGTCATATGCAGCTGTTTAGATGCGTACACTCAGGAGATTAGTATAGTTAGTTAGTTAGTTAGTTAGAATAGTAGTTTGTAGTCGTTGTTATGGTAACAAAACGATGCCAACGGCTGATAGGAGAGCTTACCTTTAACAGGTGTGAATCCACACAGCAGGCAAAGGACGATGAGAGTGAGGATTATAGGCGACAGTGAAACACTGTTACTGAGCTCCTCCATGTCCATTTAAAAGTGTGTGACCGTAACTCAGACAGACTGACGACTAACTTCAATACAGCTGTGCGGGATGTTTCGTCTAGTCTCGACATATTTCCCTAATGACCTTACTGAAACTCCGCCTACAGGGGGGAATACCCGTGATAAGTCGTCATCTCGTGACATTATGATACTGTAATTAATCTATATTTATTTTTCTTGCCCTCTAACAGCGAAAATTAAATTATAAACACTGGTAATAATTATAGTTGAGCATAAACTGTTATTTTCTTCAATAAGTTGTGTGTGGTGCAGCAAACAAACTCACTTGAGGACGGTGCGAGCTACTGGAAGTTATTCAGTCCATGATCGGCACAGTTTGGGATGTGATCTTTAGTCAGGATGAGAGGTGCACTTTGTACAAGAGAAGGTTTAAGTTAAAAACACAGTGTGGTCTGGTTATGTTCCATGAGGGCTGCAGAATCGCTTCCTTGTTCAATGGTTTGAGTCTCACAGATCAAGCTGACGGAAAGAGGAAGGAGGGGAGGGGCGTGTCTTAAGGGCACAGTATCAACCTTTTAATTCGATATTTCATTGTTTAATATTTGTGTATTGTCTTGTTAGCGCTTAGTGTGTTTGAGCTTGAGTTTTAATGACTGCAGAAAAGTTATTTTTATATCAATATTTTTCTCCCTTTTGTTTATTTACTTGATAATTATTAGTCAAAAATTAAATGCAAGGTAAATGTAATCTATCCTCATGTGTTTCTCCAGTGTTCTCTCATCCCAGGACACATTTGCATGTGGGGCCCATGTGGGTAGTAAACACCAATACAATACAATACACTACAACACACTTGTAGAGAGCCACATTCTTTCCCTTTACCCTCATCAGGAAGGTTTTTATTCTCATCTCATAAAATGTCAGCTTTTTTATAGTCAGAGAGTTACTCTGCACGGTCTCCAAAATGCATCCAGTGTCCTCCCACAGTCTGAACACAGGCTGCCTGTACATGTGACTAAGAGTGTTTGTCTTCAACATAACAGCGTTAACCTGTCCCGTGTCTCACTTCTTGCTCAGTGCATGCTGTGATTGGTGTGTCAGTGGAGCACAGATCTCCATCAGGCAACCAAGTGGTTGCCCAGACTGATAGCTACTCACTTACTCAGTGTAGAAGCCCAAATAATAAGGAAAATAATCAAATCAAGAAAATCTGCATGTCCACAAAAGCAGGCACGCAAAATGCTCCAATCCTGAAATGCTCCTGGTGTATTATTACATTGTTCATCCAAGGGGAACAAAGCTGGGTGGCAGAAAAGTTGCGGCCTCCACTGGCCGGTTAACATGACTGAGGTAAATTGAGTTACAGTTACAGCTCAATTTGGCCATTTAATTGGTCTACTGTCCTTGTCCCAGTATACAAGCACAGGAGGGGAATTGATTTATGGACCGAAGTCCAGCTCTGCTCCCTCTTTCAGCTTGTTGGACTGTAGTGGTTATTCTTGGTCCTATAACCACTGTGGTGGCTGAGCAAAGATATGTCTGACTCGACGCATCCAAAAACTTCAGTGCTTCAATGCTCAGAAGATGCAAATTTAAGTCTAAATAAGGATTCAAAGATAAACTAAGGATTCTATAAAAACTGAAGCAAGGTCAGTCTCTGCATCAGGCCTTGAGGATGTCAGCCTCTCCTTGCTTTATCCCCATCCATCCACAGCCACTAGATGGGGTCAGCTCAGAGACCAGAAAGAGGTTACAGTTTGTTAACACAATTTTGGCTCCTACAGGACCTGTCTCCAGTTCACTTCTTAGGACACAGACCAAACAATCGAGTGTCGTCCAGCTGTTCCGACTCGTTTCTGAGCAGGTCGCCAGCCATTCTGTGTTTTACTCCCATCCATGTCTGTCAAAATATTTAACTCTTCCAGCTGACACAGGATGAACTGTGTCTCCTCGTCTGTCCAAAAATGCACAGCTCTAGATGTAGATTTCACAATGTTGTTACTGGCTTCGTCTTCTGTTACGATTTAATGCTATTAGACTTCCAGGTCAACCACTTTGGGTTTGCTTGACTGTATACGTGCAGGAGGAATTTGACTCCTAATCAGATTATCTGAGTGTGTTAGTCTGGATTTGAGAAATTTGATTTAGTACAATTTCAGTGGGACTAAAATGTTTAGGTGTGTTTTAAAAGTCCACTTTTACGGTGTTTTCACACCTGCCCTGTTTGGTTCGGTTCAAGCGAATTCAAGTTCATTTGCCTCCTAAGTGCGGTTTGTTTGGGCAGGTGTGAACACAGCAATCACACTCGGGTGTGCAGCAAAACAACCGGACCTAGACCTTGTAGGCATATGACCACACATAATCTGAGGGGACCCCTCCATTATTGACCCCATCAAACAAAATGGGGGCGCTAGAGAGCTAATTTCTTATCTAGGCCTAACCGCCATATGGATTTTTACTAAACTTGCTAGATTGATAGATTGTTCATACAAGGTTATTGGGGGAGGTAACTGAGTGCAGAGATGGCAGATGGCAGATATGTAGAACAGGACGCCTCAAGGTGACTGGAGAAATTTAACTCTAATTGGCAACTGGGTGGCGCTATAACAACAGAAAAATGCTTCAAAATGGCTAAAATGCGACCGATCGCTGTGGCTCCCCCTGTGGACCAATGTTGGTTTCTTCTTCTAATTTTTGGTATGACTAAGTCATGGTATGGTATGCTGTACATAATCACGGAAACTGTCAGTGTGTCATTCTGTCTGTCCCACGTTTTTCTACTCACTGACGTGGTCAAGCTATGTGAAACTGCACATAGGCATTGAGGACTGGCATAGGTAGAAGGTGACAAAGCTACCAATGGGTATGAACTAGTTCTTATTATTTTTAGTGTTATTTATATTTGTCTGACAGTTTCGATACAGTGAGGATTAGGGCTGGGTATCGTTTGAAAAATTACGATACCAGTACCAATACCAGTACACTTAAAGTGATACCAATACCAAATGAGTACTGCATTCGATACCTAGATGAGTAATGTTAGTAGCTAACCATTAGGCTACCTGATGTAGTCGATCGCTGTGCTTGTGTATTGGACTGTTTATGCTCTCTAGACGCAGCTTTTACACAGTGCAGCTATCCACCCTCAAGTTCTCTCCTTGTTTGATTAGATGCTTTTTCATCATGCTATGCTACATGTGTCACCTGTTTTTTCCCAAAATAATTTTTCCACATTTTAAGCACTTGCCTTTGTCAGAAGCCTCCGGCATGTAGTTGAGCCATACTTTGGACTGTTTTGGATGCATCTCGACACAACACAACTCACAACGTGCTCCCTGACTTGAAAATCATCACAGAATTTTTCTATATCTGTGTACAAAAAGGATCGAATGAAGTACTCATTTGAATGGAGCAGTTTTGATACTACTTGGTATTGGATTATTTCGGTCGATATCTAAAAGGTATTGAGTACCGATACCCAGCCCTAGTGAGGATACTTGTTGTCTTTGTTGTAATTAGTGCCATTTGTAGTTCTACTGTGGTTAATCTATTGGTTTTGTTTGTTTTTGATTATTGTTTTGTAGTTTTCCTGTTTTCTTGTTGTATTTTTTTTCTTTTTGCTGTCGATTTTTAAATATGTATTTGTTTTACACTATGATGTCATGTTTGCTTGTGTGGACCCCAGGATGAGTAGCTGCCACCTTGGTAGGGACTAATGGGGATCAAAATAAATAAAGCTTTACTACTGTATTGTATTCTTCACAAATAAACAGAACATTGAGAAAGTATTAATTTCTTAATTGAAAAAAATAAATAAATAATCAAAAACCAGAAAATTAAATGTGCTCTTTAAAAGTATATTTCTGTAAAATGCCCCTACAGTGGGGTTTACTTATTGTAAAGAGGTGATGATTTAACAGGGCAAACACAGGCAGCAGACTCTGTTAGACGAATCCGTTCACAGCGCTCTGAGCTTCCACAGCATCTGGACAGACGTTAAGAGTTGTCTGCAAAAGGGAGACCATCACCCCACCTGGTGGACATTTTGATCTAAAGCACTTTCATTTCACAGACACAACTGTCTGACCCTGATCTGACTGAAGACCTGAGACTTACAGAATCAGTGACACCATTTTTAACAACGTCTTATTTCCTTATTTATATCATATTTTTCTTATTTCAAACATACATGTTTCATTATTATTGTTGTTTCATTAATATTTTTAATTATATTGTTGCTGGCAATTATATTCCAATTCATTTTTTGATTATTTTGATTGTCCGATTTTACTTGCCTCATTACTATCCTGAAGTGTTTTCATCCCAGCTCAACCAAAGCAAGATGCTTCTTCAATGAGAGGCGAAACGTCTTCAAGAAACGCAAGCAAGTCCAGTTGCCTAAGATATAGCATTACCATGACCTGGATGACTGAGAATCTTCACCAAAGCACTTTGTAACTTTGCTTTGAAAAGTGCAATATAAATAAAGTTTATTATTATTATGTTATTGTAATGAGGTACTGCAAATGATTTGCCAAAATATGTAACACATAAAGGGACAAATTATTCATACAATTAACAAAACATAATCAACCATAACTTTTTAATGACATTTGTCTAAAAACTGGCATAATGTAACCTCACAGTGATGTAAAGAACAGTAAACTGGCGCCCGCTCCTCAAATTTCTCACAAGTGATGATGGGCCTGGTGGCTCCCTCACTGACGCTAGCTACCTCCTGGCTAGTAATGTTAGCTGTAACATTAGCCTTCTGGCTATCGTTTGCCTCTTTAGCCTGGCTGTGAGCAGTTTCCTGAACTGACTGAAGAAGCTGGTCATTATATTATGAAGTGGGTTTAAAGCCCTTTCCAGCTCTGTCTTTTCTGGCATCCTGATTTATGTGCAGGTCCTGGCAAAGCAAAGAAGTTCACTCATCAGCTAATAGTTCATTAAGATTGGCAAATTTCTCAGGCCATTGTATTTTTTGCAACAGTTGCATACCAGACAAAAAACACGTTACTAAAGCAAAAATAAGTACTGTGCAATGTTTTTTTTAAAATAAGATGATGATGATAATAATAATAACAATAATAATAATAATAATAACCTTTATTCATTAAGCGACTTACGAATATAAAACTGAGGAAATAAAAAACAGTCTAAATGAACTTAAAACTCAGGCAAAATAAGGAAAGGCTCTCCGATAAAAGTAAGTTTTAAAAGGGACTTAAAGGAGATCACTGACTTGGCCGAACTGATTTTCTCTGGCTGGCTGTTCCAGAGCGTTGGGGCCCTGACAGCAAACATTCTGTCCCCTTTAGTTTTCAGCCTCTGGAACAGACAAATGATCTCTGCCTTTAGACCTCAAAGTACGTCCTGGCGTGTACGGTACTAAGAAGCCTGAGATATAGCTGGGAGAGAAACCATGAAGAGTCTTTAAAGTAATCAGTAAAATCTTCAAATCTTCAAATCTATTCTAAAACATACTGGGAGCCAGTGT